CAGCTTTACTATTACAAATAATATTCTTCAGAGACTCAAGGTGGGACTGACCCGATTCAGCCGCTTGCCACTACAGTGATGCTGCGGTATCCTAGTCGTTGTCAGAGCCAGGGAAGGAACCACATTGAAGACATATTGTTTGTTGTTGTATTAATTCCGCTGAATCCAAGCATACACGTCCATGTGAAATAGCATGTAACAACGTTGATGATTTCTGTTTTGGCAGAAGGGAATTATGGGTATGGCCACCTGTCACAATTGTAAACAGAGAATAAGTCATCTGAAGACTGAGCTGAAGACGTTTGGTGAGAAATCCGAAGGGTCCCGGCAGAGAATGCTGGAGAAGAAGGTCCGGACTCTGGAGTCTAAGCTGGTTAAACAAACTCAGAAGGAGCAGACCAACAAAGTCCATTATGAGCGCCTGTTGAAAGAGGAGAGGGAGCTCTTGAACAGACTTAAAGATGTAACTGGTCGCTTGCGGAGCCTTTCCTTTAGCATGCTGGCTAACAGCGAATCCTATCTTTAACCGACACACATACATATACACTGTCACACGAAACACACTCACTCATCCAAATCTTTCTCTCTCTCACGCTCTTGTCTTCATCTGTTTCATGCATGTTTCTTATCAATCCCACTTTTGATTTTTTTAGTTGGTTTGTCTACCCCTTCTTCTTTCTTTATTCCCTATATTGTTTGTCCCCACACTCATCCCACCCAGACCTCTGATCATGCACGCCAAGAAGCATGTGACCTGCACAAGAGTAAGTTGGAGTCGCTAGTTTCCAGTCTCAGAGTCTTTGTTGTCAAAACTCTGCACGGCATTTGTATATTTCATCTATAGTTACTTTGTGGTTAATATTCGTCTACTGTATTCTTGCAGGGATGCGTATTAAGCAAAGATTCCCAATGGGTAACTGAGGGATGTCTTTTGGCTGGAGCCGATTGGTGGTGGGTGGACGCAAGCACTTCGGGTACTACCCTGCGGATCACGTGATCTTGGAGAGTTAGGCTGTCTCCTCAACACACACTATGAAACAATAGTGAACTGTACATGTTATGAAAGTGTTGTTACCGAACTGCTAGATTATGTGGATATATATTATCCCCAGTCATTTGATATTTTTGAACATACTATTGAGGCCCGTCTTCTGTTTACATATTTTGACCCATTTTGACCATCATTTTGGATTTATTTCACACCCCTGTTCTCTCGCACTGGGGAGCTTATTTCGACCAAACGTTTGTACTTTCTCTTTGGGCACTTTTGATTGAAGTCTATAATTTCAATAAATATTGATGAATTGTAATCACACTGTGTCTGTCTTCAATGTGGCATCCCTTCCTTGGATCTGACAACGACTAGGATACCGCAGCATCACTGTAGTTGCAAGCGGCTGAATCGGGTCAGTCCCACCTTGAGTCTCTGAAGAATATTATTTGTAATAGTAATGCAGTTTGTTCTTTTTAACCGAAATAAGGCACAGGTTGAGTCTTTGCTTTTCCAGGCTTGCTGCTGTTTCCTGGACTGTTCATGCAGAGAGTGGAGTTAGGGAAGCAGGCATAAAATAAACACGTTGCCGGAACTACTCACACGCTACATGACCCTGCTTGACCCGACCTCTCACCTTCACGCTCGTCCCGTCTCATATACCTGTGAATGGAAGACCAGTGTCCCGCCCTTCGCCTCTGAGTGTACGTTACACACAACCAAACGTTATCCCATCGACTTCTATAGTACACAGCAGCTACATGTACTTGTGTGCACAGTCTGGCCTTAAAGCAGAAATATATAAATTGTCTATCTTAGCTAGTTCCTTTTCCGAGTACAGGAAGCCAAACACACCACTCCCAGTTCCGCACCTAATGTCAACTGCTTGAAAATGTCTGTGGTCATATTCATGTTAAAAAAAGACAGCACTAAATATTGAAAAAGTATGGTCAGTTTCTATTACCGGACGGCTGGGCATTTAAAAAGACATAAACTTCTTACACAAAATCATCCAATCACAGCTGCCAGATTTCTTAATCTTCTGCATTCAAACTCCTCTATGAAAACCGATGGGCAAACGACTCATTCTGATTTGGCGTAGTTGCACCTGTAGGGAGGGGCTGACGTTGTTGCTCGGGAGGTCCGTGATGGATGCGCAGCTGCGTCAGTCAGGAGACTAGATTCTGGCAGATGCAGGCGCTACCAGGCCACCAGATAAACACGACTCCGTTTCTATAACAAAGTAGAAACATCGTTGAACGTTTGTATTTAATTATCGCAAATGGAAAAACGCGGAAAACATTGGTAATTCTCTCCTCCCTCCTCACAGAAATAGTGTTTAGCTATGTACATAATGTACCTGCAATCAAGAGGATGTGTACCTTACATCGATGCCTCATGCGATGGTATAAACCAGGTCAGGTCGGGAGAAACAAATCGTTGCACATTCGGCCCACATGTGTACCAATGCAGTCTTACTGCCTGCGTAAAAAGCAAATTAATAGTAAAAGAATGCGACCATCACTCTCTTCCATCCCCTTCCTCGCAGAAGCGACGTTTAGTTTTGATAGTAAATGCCCCACATACTTGAGGATGTGGCCTTTTCAGTAATGCCAAATGCAATATGGTCGACAATATCCAACCACGATTAAAAAGGCGTCGAAAATGCGCAGCTAATGACGCACATTCGTGTATTTATCGGACACAGCCTTGAAATGCGACTTTTGGCATCCCCCGCATCCCTCCTCGCAGACATTTTCTTTGCATTTGTAACTATTTTCCCGCATACAAGAGGATGCGGTCTTTTCAACGACATCAGATGTAGTGTGCTTGATACATTTCAAAGGGGAGCAAGAATCGTCGAACATTCGCTGTGAAACACCTACAAACGAAAAATGGCAAATAGCAGCAAATGCGACTTTTGGTGTCTCTCTCCTCCCTCCTCCAGAAAGAATCTTGGAATTTTAACTTATTTTTTTAAGCATACAAGACGATGTGGTGTTTTTAAGGATAGGAAATGCAATGTGTTTGATACATTCCAAAGGGGATTAAGAAATTGTTGAACATTCGCTGTGAAATACGCACAAAGGAAAAATCCAAATCCAAATGGTTTGCTACATTCCAAAGTGGATTAAGAAATTGTTGAACATTCGCTGTGAAATACCCACAAAGGAAAAATCCAAATCCAAATGGCAAAGAGCAACAAATGCGACATCTATCAGCTCCCTACTCGCAGAAAGTATCTTGGAATCTTAACTTATTTTTTCCGCATACTAGAGGGTGTGATCTTTTAACGGTACGAAATGTAATGTGTTTGTCACATTTCAAAGGTTAGTACGAAATTGCGGAACATTCGCTGTGAATTCCGTACAAACAAAAATTACAAATATAAATGGCGAATAGCAACAAATGCGACTTTTGATGCCACTCACATCACATGTCGCACATATACTGACACACATTTTTAGTTAGATTGACTAAGTCTTAACGACACAACAGTGCATGTGGAAAGTCGCCGTTGCTTACGAGTCCCGATCAGCTTGCAATCAGCCAGCATATGACCTCATCAGGTTGTGAGCGCATATTCGAATCTCCAGAAATGACGTCATGATAGAACAATATTTTATCGCGAAATAAACCACGCTTCGTTCTTTATTGTTCTTTGCGATTTATCGCGTAGCTGTCTAATACATTCAAGTCTCGTTAATCCGACACTCGTTAATCCGACAATCGGCTTTATCCGACAAATAATGGGAACTGATTATATCAGTGCTATTAATCCGACAGTCTTGCATTCCGACTCGGACACACTTAATTTGCAACGAACTACCAGAACAGAACCGTTTATTCTCTCCAAACCACCGGCGGTGGTACAAAAGAGTACCAAAGAATAAGCATGTACACATAAAGTAATAATATGTAACAAGATGACAGACTGTATATTTGCACAATATTACAAAAAAGTAATTGACAGGTAAATAAAGTAATCAAATTTTTTTACACTGGCAAACTTAACTAACCTTCCTACTTCATAAAGTACATGCTACAAATTTCATAATTTTGTCAGTCATGAACAAATAACATTAACAACGTTACGAAGCCAAAATATGCCCAACACTCTGACTCATAATCATCTCCTTGTCTCAAAAGATCCGGGTTAGAATAGGTATATCAGCAACGCTACTGACGGGATCGGGTGCTCATCCTGGCTGACTTGGTCATAGAGCTGGAATATTGCGGCGTTAAACAACAAACAAACTTTAGCTGTCGGAAGGGTTAAATGATTTTCTGACAATCTCCATAGCGTAGTGGATAGAGCGTCTGCCAGGAGAGCGGGGGGTCGGTAGTTCGATCCCCTGAGCGCGTGACACCAAAAGACGTTAAACTATGGTACTTGTTGTTACCCGGCCTGGCGCTCGGAAGCAAGGAGATAAAACAAGGACTGGTCGGGTCGGAGTCACTATACAGTGTCTGTGTAGGGTATTCGTGTATGTTGTCTCAGTTGGCTAACACTATAAAACCGGCTTAAGTGACGAGTACACGCATGCACACACTCGCAAACACACGTCACTATATAAGTGAGATAATCTTATCACACTACGTTTAACCCCTTTTCACCTCACCCCACCTTAGTGATGTTCCTTTCTGACACAACCCTTTACTAAGATCAAATATATTCGGTAGCACATAGTACACATATCGAATTAACCCAAGCTCACAACTGTGACATATTAAATGGGATGACGTATCAATAACTTCCGGTATTTCAATTTCCGAATCACGTGCTCCGTATATCACATGTCTGCTCCTCGTGTTGTGGAAATGGCACTTCCGGTTACCTATAGTTCACCAGCCGCCTCGTATTTCTAAAGATCTCTGTGACATCAGCAGAGAGTTTTCCTCGTTGGTACAAAAGTACGATTAGATTGAACTGGTCTTATTTAACTGTCAACTCAGGGCCACGCGTCAACTCATAATCACATTCCGCGTTAAGGGAGTCGTTTTTCCGTCGTCACTAATGCAGTTTCCTTGAAGCCACTGTTGGCGTAACCTAGCGTACTGAATACGAGGGACGGCGTATTGAAGATTTTGATCAACTAAAACTGACATTATAAATTCTAGGACCTTGGAGAACAATGAGTTCTGAAGATTCTGTGAACGCTAGTATTTTGAAATTTGGTCGCCATGAATTTCTCAACGAAGAAACTGAGATGGCGATACCAATTCTTATAATTCTTGGACTAGCAACGTTGATAGGAACGTTTGGCAACGTTCTGATTCTTGTAGCGGTGAAAACGAGGAAGTCCATGCACAACGTGGAATCCATCTTCATCGTCAACTTGGCCTGCTCAGATATGTACGTCACGACCTTGGCAGACCCCATGAGTATCGTAGGTAAGACAGAAGCCCTGTTGAGGGAGGAGGGGGGGAATTAGAATAAGTCACTATTTGACTTACCAAAAAATCCAGGGTCGATTGTCAAACGTTTTCTTCGTCATTTGAATAACAACTTCACAAAAAGAGTGTCGCTCTGTTTCTCTTTCAGTATCTGCATATTCAATACCTGACCATGTGTTCTCGACAAAAGCAATTCTTAATTAACGTTAATCATTCAAATATTGATTTGATGGTATCGTGGAGACATATTTTGTACGCAGGCTTGCCTTTGCTTTAAGGTGTATCCCTCTCTCTCTCTCTCTCTCTCTCTCTCTCTCTCTCTCTCTCTCTCTCTCTCTCTCTCTCTCTCACACAAGATGGTACTTGTTGTTACCCTGTCTGGCGCTCGGCATTAAGGGGCTAAAACAAGGACTGGTCGGCTCGAAGTCAGTATACTGTGTCTGAGTAGGGTATTCATGTCAAACTGCGGCATGGTATCTCAGTGAGCTAGCACTATAAATCGGCATCAGTCCGGACTAGTACAAGCAGCCAAACACACACACACACACACACACACACACACACACACACACACACGTGCATGCACGTCGCTATATAAGTGCAATAATCTTGGACGCGACGTTAAACCGCATTTAACCACACCCCACCTTACTTTATTTACCCTTCAGCCCATCCCTTTCTTTAATACAAAACCTTAAATAAAGCAAGTCTAGATTTTCCTCAGGTTAGCCACACTCAGCAATATTCCAGCTATATGACGGCGGTCTGTAAATAATCGGGTGTGGACCAGACAATCCAGTGACTGACATCATGAACATCGATCAACTCAATTGAGATACGATGACATGCATCAACCAAGTCAGCGAGCCTGACCACCCGATCTCGTTAGTCGCCTCTTACAACAAGCACAGTCGCCTTTTACTACAAGCATAGTCAGCTTTTACGACAAGCATAGTCGCCTCTTACAACAAGCATAGTCGCCTCTTACAACAAGCATAGTCTACAAACAAACAAAGCAAACAAACCCATAAACGCTGTATACACGGTTTCTAAATTTTACTTGAATGAGTAAAATTTCGTCTTAAACGTCAAATATTTAAAGAATGACATTTTATGGTAAAAAGATTATTACCCTCGTGATTTTCCGTATCGTAAATGTCAAATATTAAGAATAAAGAAATATGTATTATGCTTGCCAAAGGATCGTGAAATACAATTCCTAAAGTATGATATTTATGACGCGGAAACCCAAACAGGCAGCTAATAATCTTAGTGTACCATCTTGTAACGTCTTTTGGTGTGAAGTGGCCTGCAAATTGAGTGCAGCTGTTGAAATAACCGAAGACAATATTGCGTGAAAAATATGTTGCCATGTGCCACACACTGCCAACAAACAACATGTGACAAATAACCAGCCAAATCACCCGTCAAAATGAAAGAATCTGACAGAAACTGAAACGTCAAATAATTCATTGTAAAACAAACAAACCAAAATACTCTCACCGTCGTCTCATGCTCCCAAATAAGTGTCTGGATGGTTGCCAAGGGAAGATTGTTCTACTCTTCAGAAAGAACATTGCCGAGTTTCAGTAAAGTTGCCGGGGCGACCTGCAGCTCGTTCCCCATGTGTTCGACAGGGTTGAGGTGTGGTGACCGGGCTGGCCACTCTGTGCGGACAATGGACTCTTGCACTAAGTAGGCATCAACGACGGGACACGATGAGGTCGTGCGTTATCGTCCATGAGGATGAAGTCCGGTCCGATCGCACCAGCATAGGGTCTCACGTACACATCCAGAATAGAAAGCCATCCCTGTAGCACACACCTGTCATCGTGCCCCAATGTAGGACATAGAGATCGGTTCTTCCAGCCCTACTGATCCCACCCTAAATCATGATTGAGCCCACTCATAATCGCCCATTTTCGCCTACGTTGGAATACTGTTATCTTTCCCCTTGTCTACGATGCACTCAGGCACGACGAACTGCGACGTCAAGACAGTATCTCGATTCATCATTGAAAAGTACTGGAGTCCAGTTTTTGTGTGATCAATTGACGTGATGTGATCTTCAGCCCAACCCACACGTGCCTGCCTGTAATGTCGGGTCAGTGGGATGCGAATGTATGCCCTCCGTGTCCAAATACAAGCCTCACGAAGACGACTACGCACTGCCTGAGGAGAAACGAAACGTTCACGCCACTGGCGTTCAGCAGGTCATTTCTGAGTGTGGTGACAGTCACGAAGTGATGACGACTTGCTGAAATCAGGACACACCCATCTTCCCGCTGTGTGCTGGAACGCTATCGACCACCTGCATGTCGCTGGGTAGTTGATCCAAACGTCTGGTTTCAATTCCATGCCCTGCTGATCACACTACGGCTGACCCCATTACGTTTGCAACATGACGCTATGTTGACCTAGCTTCAAGCATGCATGCATCTGCCTAATTCTTCGGTCGTCAAATGACATCTTTGACGCTGAGTGGGCATAAGTACATTGAATGACTGTCACTGATAATGATGTGCAATGATTCTGTCACGATCCACAGGTTTTCAAAAACATGACTGCATGCCTGTCCGTTCATAATGAAATTTTGGTCCTTTTGGGGCTACCCACTTGTGTACCTGGATATTTCAATCTGTATCTGTTGGAGGATTTTTTGATATCATCAAACCTTTATCCTTACCAAACTTTAAGGAGTATATTTTTTTAAAGGGTGTGCGAGATGAATGCTGTGCAAATAATGCACATGAAAAAGAAATAGAAAGACATGCATATATAACATAAGTTTCATATAAACATACCATCATGAAATATACGTTATCAGATTCATGACTGGCATAAGGAAATTAAGGAACAAACCTAGAAACATTAACGGGACCCAAGATCCTAGGTTTCTAGCCTACCCAAGGGACGCAACTCTGTACAGTGATTGCGGCACAGTGCACGACAACGCCATCCGTGCCCCGTCGGCGTGACGAGTAAGTGAGTAGAACTATACGAGCAATGTTCCAGCAATATTAACATTGTCTCAATTTTGATAATCAAACTCAGAAATTGGCTTCACTAGCCAACGCTTTTCAATAAGGCATTGCTGTGATATGACATGCAATACTCACACTTTTTGCATAAGAGTATCACCCACGTGAAAATCCGGATTAGAATTAGTGTTCAGCAACCTATGCCTGATGTAAGATGCGACTAACGGGATCGGGTGATCAGTCTCGCTAACTTGGTTGATGCATGTCATCGTATCCCAATTGCGTGGATGCTCGTGATGTCAATCACGGGATCGATTATTTACATACCGCCGTCACACAGCTGAAATATTGCTGAGTGCGGCGTTAAACAAAAAACAAACAAACAAACTTCGGCTGTCGGGAGGGTTAAATGATTTCCCGACAGTCTCCGTAGCGTAGTGGATAGAGCGTCTGCCGGGAGAGCGGAGGGTCTGTAGTTTAATCCCCTGACCGCGTCGCACCAAAAGAAATTAAACCATGGCTGTCTCACTGGGCGAACACTATAAAACCGGCTTACGTCCTGACAAGTCCACGCACGCACGCACGCACTCACACACGTCCCTATATAAGTGAGATAATCTTATCACGCTACGTTTAACCCCTTTTCACCTCACCTCACCTAACCTTAGTGATGTTCCTTTCAAAATTAACCCTTTAAGATCAAATATATTCGGTAACACATAGTACACATATCGAATTAACCCTTGCTCACAACTGTGACATATTAAATGGGATGACGTATCAATAACTTCCGGTATTTCAATTTCCGAATCACGTGCTCTCTTGATCACATATCTGCTCCTCGTGTAATGGAAATAGCACTCCCGGTTACATCCGGGTTATTCAGTTCACCAGTCGCCTCGTATTTCTAAAGATCTCTATGACATCAGCAGAGAGTTTTCCTCGTTGGTACAAAAGTACGATTAGATTGAACTGGTCTTATTTAACTGTCAACTCAGGGCCGCGTTGATGCATGTCATCGTATCCAAATTGCGTAGATAGATGCTAATGATATCATCACTAGTTTCCCTGGTCTGGACTCGATTATATACAACTTGGATATTGCAGAGTGCTTAACGAAACAAAGGTATATAAAAAAATAAAAGAGTATCACATGACTTCGATCTGTAGCTGTGAATACCTTATTTTAGAAAGTTGCAGAACTGAAATTCATTCTTTGATAAAAAGAAATCCCAAGATAACTCTTATATAACAGAAATAAAAGTAATCATAGTTTCGCTTCCTTACAGGAATTAAATTTACACACGTAACATGTCATATGTCTTTGTCGAAATGACACCACTGATTCATATGTATCTTGTTCCTGTTGAAAAGGCAATGTTTATCTTGTAATCAACGTTATCACAGATGATTTCCCGGTTGGATGTATGAATATAGCAGGTATCTCATGTGTTGATACACGTACAGCATTTTCAAAAAAATATTGAATATAAATTGTTTTACCAAACCCTAAATAGATCACATAGGTTTTTTTTATATATTTCGAATAATAATAACGTGAAAATTAGACGTTTGTGTCCCATCGTTTAAATGGCAGATCACAGGTGCGGAGCGCCGGTCGCACGTGGTGCACGTGACATACGTGAAATGTGTTCCCTTAGCCTTTTGCACGTGCACTTTAGTGACTCGGGTTACGAAATGCAACAGTTTTGGTGAGGTGAGGTGAGGTGGGGTGAGGTGAGGTGAGGTGATGTGTTGTGGGGTTTATAGTCTGGAAGTTAATTTAAGGTACCGACGTTTTCTACAATATCTGAAAAACTATTGGACCTACTATAGTCAAAGTTGGTATGAGATTATTAAACAGTCATATATAACTGGATATGACATTTAAAGACAATCGGTACATGAATAAAAAATCTGTCTATTTAGCTATCACTATATTTCATCAACAACCAGACCTGTTTGTCACGGGTGGACCGAGTATTCATTGCACCAGCTATCTGCATAATGCTACCC